CAAAGACATTGGCCTGCACAGACAATTTTCTGTCTTAGGCTGTAGTACTCATTACAAACTTCGAATACGAAATTTGAAACAATTCCGTTGAATATTGTCGCTAAAATCTTTAAAATACCGAATATCGGGAGTTACCGTAATATGAGGGATATACGAAGACGTGGACCTGTACAGACAATTTTCTGTCTTAGACTGTAGTATCCTTTAAGATCTTCAAATACGAAATTTGAAACAATTCGGGTGAATAATGTCGCTAAAATCATAATAATACGAATATCGGAATGTGCCGTTATATGGGGGCTACAAGACGCAGACCTGCACAGACAATTTTCTGTCATAGGTTGTAGTATCCATTACGAACTTCAAATACCAAACTTGAAACAATTCCCGTGAATAATATCGCTTAACTCACCAAAATACCGAAAATAGAGAGGTACCATTATAAGGAGGCTATACCAAACGTGGACCTACATTGCCCATTTTCAATACCAAAATCCTGCTGACATAATATACATTTGAATAAAATTTTATCAACCTACTTCAATTCGTTCGAAAGTTAGAGTGGGGGGTCTAAAATGTATATTTCGAGGTGTTACAAACGGTGGAGGGTATAAAAATGCAAATCTAGTAGATTCTTGCGGCTTCAAATGTCTCATCAACAGTAGACAAAAGCGGTGACTCATAACCCCAGCTTTCCTACAGGGTAGCTTTTGGCTAGCTGCTTGCGTAGCCCTGAATTTGACGGTCACTGAACCAAACAGCCAACTGTTACAATCCAATGCAAAAGAAAAAGTTAATGTCGGCAACTACGAGGAAATAGTATGACGGAGTTCTATGGAAATTATTATATTTAATAATGTTCACAATAAATTCTACAAATGGAGTTTCCAGTTTCCACTTAGGCTATTTAGTTATTTTAAAATATACGTCACATATACTTACGTAATTAGTTTTCAATATTTAATTGTCAAACTCTTTTAGCCGTCTGTACTGCTCGCTGTCAAAATGGAGGCACATGTACGGGTCATGATTCTTGCAGTTGTCCGGCTGGTTTTACAGGACGTTATTGTGAAATTGACATCGATGAATGTAAAGAGGAGAAACCCTGCGATCAGGCGTGTATCAACACAGTGGGCTCATATTATTGCCAATGTCGGGATGGCTTCACCTTGCTGGCCGATCAGCAGAGTTGTAAGAAAAATGGTGAGCATTGTCAACACTTTGTATCTACCCACAAATTTATTTGAATAATGGTTTTTTGGACTACCCTAGATGTACACAAGGATGATGCATTTGAAGCCAGAGACTTGGAGAATGAAATTGAGCCACAGGAAGATATAACAGCCAGATTGCAGAAAATCGAAAAACAATTGGCCAATGAAAAAGTGCAATCGAATGAATTGCAAAAAACCTTACAGTCCACATATTCAATGGTCGATTCTCTCAAGAATCGTTTAATCAATTTGGTGAGACAAAAATGCAAAACCCGATTGATTTCATAAAACATTTCTAATATATATGTATATTTCGACAAACAATTTTAGGAAAAACAACAAATGGACTTTCATCGTTTACAAACGAATCTCTACAACACTGAATCGCGCACAATGAAATTGGAGGGAATGGTGAATCTTTTAATGAAATGTCGAAATAATGTCGGACCCAATGCCCAATGTCCCTAAATGTATACTGCTACTGTAACCGTATCCCATATCAAATTGGAAATCGTAGTTTTTATTTAAAAATTTCCACACACACACACCTAAAACAGAACTGCATTTTATTTATTAGGATTTTGAATTAAGCTTAACTCTAGATTTTATGCTTCTTTTTGAAGAAATCTCAACATCCATTATTGACTACTCCCTTTCAATTGTATTGCCATCTATTTTTTTCTTTAATTTTTAATTTCAAATTAGCTTTTAGAAATGCTCAATATTTGTGTATTGTATTTAGGACATTGCCTTCTTCTGTGGGTTGAATTTATTTGTCATTCTTTTATTATAGCATTCCCATTAACCCTAACCTAAAAAAAAAACACTCTCACACAAATGCATGAAATGTAACAAGTCTTGAAAAATTTACGATGTATTTGTTTTGAATTGAAATTTTGCGTTTTTTTGTATGCATGCTGTTAGAGTTTAAGAGAAGTAGAAGAGATATAGGAAATTTGAAACGAATTTCAATTGTAAAAAAAAGCAATATCGGCCTCTTTTTTATTATTCCATGTTCGTGGCGTCATCGTTGTCGTCGAAGAAAAGCTTTTATATGCCTAATTTTAAGGATATGATATATTTGTAACGTATTTAAATGTAAATATTTAAATAAAGTTAATATTAATTGTTTAGATTAAATAAAGTATTGGTGTATGTGTTTTCATTTAATGAACGGCAAGCCGAGATGGCCTTTATCTGCGGAGTCATGTCTGTTCTGAGACGTGGTATTTCAGAGGCTCATGAGAAAAGAGCGCAGAGTGGATAAGATGTTTTTTTTTACATTTTGGTCCTTCAAAAGCAGGTCGTATGAATCACAATGAAAAAACTTCAATAGAGATCGTGGCCTACATAGGGTCGGCCAGTAAGCCCAACTGACAAACAAGTTTACCGTCAAAAGAAATATTGTGATTTGAAATTCAAAGAGAATCAAATCGCAGTAGTGCAAAAACTACTATGTTTATTGTCAAATCGTTGGCAAAAGTAGTCTACTTGGCCGACCTTATGTAGTCCTGGATATATATCGAAAAACAAAATGTCAAAATATTTAAAGATTTTGGAATATAAATCGATATAAATTGAATGAATATGAATGTGTTTCCTTTTTAAAGACAAAAAAATGTTCAGAAAATATTCAAATTCGAATGTTTCAAAATGTTGATTTCAACGTATGCATCGAAACAATCTTCAGTTTTTGTAGCGAAATAAACCTTTAGAGATATATAGAACATGATTTTGAAAATAAATTTTGACCTTTCATTCAGTTTTTGCGGTTTTCAATTATTTATTCAAAATAAATGCAACAAGTTGTTTGTATTTTTATTGTTTTGATACTAATTCTGACATTACAAGCCAAACAGGTAGACCTCTATACTTGCAATTTTTTCGAAGTTAACCTACCTTCCATGGTACAATGAATTCAAGGTAGGGCAGAACTACCATATGATTTAAATTTTTTTATTTTTCCGGCTTAATATGTCAACTTCATTTGCTTATGTGTGTGTTTTCTTTTCAATAATAAAAAATTGTTCAGAAAATATTCAAATTCGGGTGTTTTCAAAATGCTTATTGCAACGAATGCATCGACAAAATCTACAGTTTTTGTCGCGAAATAAACCATAAGAGATATATAGAACATGATATTGAAACGAAATTTTGACCATTCATTCAGTTTTCGCGGTTTTAAATTATTTATTCAAAATCAATGCAACAAGTTGTTTGATTTTTTATTGTTTTGATAGTAATTCTGACATTACAAGCCAAACAGGTAGACCTCTATACTTGCAATTTTTTCAAAGTTGACCTACCTTCTCTTCTTTGTACCATGATTGATACTACAACCCAATCATGGTATTTCTCTTATGGTTTATTTCGCGACAAAAACTGTAGATTTTGTCGATGCATTCATTGCAATAAGCATTTTGAAAACACCCGAATTTGAATATTTTCTGAACAATTTTTTATTATTGAAAAGAAGACACACACATAAGCAAATTAAGTTGACATATTAAGCCAGAAAAATAAAAAAATTTAAATCATATGGTAGTTCTGCCCTACCTTGAATTCATTGTACCATGCTACAACCCATGGTACAATGAAGAGAAGGTAGGTCAACTTTGAAAAAATTGCAAGTATAGAGGTCTACCTGTTTGGCTTGTAATGTCAGAATTACTATCAAAACAATAAAAAAGCAAACAACTTGTTGCATTGATTTTGAATAAATAATTTAAAACCGCGAAAACTGAATGAATGGTAAACATTTTTTTCAATATCATGTTCTATATATCTTTTATGGTTTATTTCGCGACAAAAACTGTAAATTTTGTCGATGCATTCGTTGCAATAAGTATTTTGAAAACACCCGAATTTGAATATTTTCTGAACATTTTTTTTATTATTGAAAAGAAAACACACACATAAGCAAATGAAGTTGACATATTAAGCCAGAAAAATAAAAAAAATTAAATCATATGGTAGTTCTGCCCTACCTTGAATTCATTGTACCATGGGCAGAATTACAAGGTAACCCTTTCAGGCCAGCTGTAGTCAACTTGATATGTCAAACAAGTTGTTGTAATTCGAATTCGCCGTAGAAATACATAAAAGAAATTCAAACATCATAGAGGAAAAAATAAACACAAAAATATAAAAATCAAATTTTGTGATATAATTCAAATAAAAAAAAAAAAAACAGAATATGAGGTGCTGTGCTGTTTGCAAAAGAAAGGATAGTGAACGACAAGCAACATTTTTCAATGTACCCAAGGAAGAGACGAAGAGGTTGAAGTGGAGTGCGATTTGTGGGATCACTTTAAACCCAAACGCCAAAATATGTTCTCATCACTTCAACCCAAAGTATATAACGGGCATAAGTTGTAGAATGAAATTATTACCAGACAGACGGACGGACGGACATCGCTAGATCGACTCCAAATGTCCTGAAACGGACTTGGTTCAAAGAGACCTAGTGTCTAAAACCGTTATTTCGATTTGGCCGTATAAAATTATATATACCCCCTTAAGCCATATAACTAAGGGCATAAAAAATATTGAAAATATTTTATTTGATTATTTTTTATACATCAGCGTTTGCTTCTTAAGTCTTTTGTTTTTGTCTTTTTATGGAGAAAATCATATGACTTGGGGTATAAAATATGTTTGGTGTAAATCTACTGCTTAATTCGTATGGTACGAAAATGACGCTGTACGATACGTCAGTATATAACCACAGAGGAAACACTCATCAGCTGATTGTTGTCCATCCACCCAGATGTCTAAACCACAGCCAACTTCACTTTATTATGTTATTGAGATGTGAAATGAAAAAAAGCAACGAAAAAACAAAGAATACCACACAAAAACAAAGAAAACAAATACCAAAATATAAAGAAAAAATTCAAGACGAAAATATTCGATAAGAATTAATGTGCAATTACACGGAAAATAAACGAAAAATTAGAGCAAATAAACAAAAAAGAAGAAAAACAACAATTGCTTTGGAGGAGATAATAAAAAGGCAGGAGGAGACAAACAAAAGGCGAATTGAACAATAACAAGTGGAAAAAAATATTTAAAAGTGAAATCGATCAAATCATTATTGTATGACTGTGTCGTCGCAGTAATTGCTTAATGTGAACAGCGGATACTTTAACATCAAAGCTTTTTACAGACTTGACTTGTCCATAAAGATTTAAAAAAATCAACTATTAGCCATTTCAAATCAAAAACAAAAATTGAGGAGTACTAAATACCTGTCTATGACCATGACACCAGCCATTGACAAAATTCCCTTAAAGCAGGCGGAAATCGCTGTGCGAAGATTTAATGACATGGCCATTCCTCACCATTTGGGCCTGCTGAAAAACCATCACAGCAACATTGAGAAGAGCCTGGCCTTGGGCGATTGGAACAAAATCAAAAAAGAAGAAATCAATGCCATGCGGGTAATAAAACAAATTAAAAATCTCCTACTCGAAATGGATGCGCTGAGAGAAAAGGTGAGGGATGATGATTTGGAACGTTTCGATGCCATGATGGAGGAGGGGAAACAAAAGGCATTCGATGGCATGAAAGAATATTTGGGTAAGACAATGTCCGCTTATTGTTATTTTTTTTTTTTTTTTTTTTTCAATAATTAACAATAAATTTATTGTTGAATGATCTCGTCGATAAGGGCAAGTCAGTCACACTTTTGTATAGAAGTGTGTATTTGTCTTGTGGTTGCCATGAAAGAATATATTTTACGCGACGTGATTATGGCACAACTCATTTATTCAAATCCGTTAGCAACAGTCAAAAAGGTATTCGGTATAGTTTACAAATGGACAATATTGTTCAACTTCTTCGGCTACCTTCCACTCCAAAGTTCAAAATTTCCAAAAAAAAAAATAATTTAGCTCATAAAAAGTGATACCCCCCATCGAATATTGTCCAATATTGTGCTATTGGACAATATTGGACCGCCTTTTTGATATTTCCTCCACAAAGGATCAATATTTTGTACAACCAATGCTCCTATAAAATGCGAATAAATCATGCCTTTTTTTTCAAACTTCACACATTCCAATATTTATACCAACACAAAATGCAATATATCCTATCTTCGTGTGAAGATGGAAGACGTGGACCTGCACAGACAATTTTCTGTCCCAGGCTGTAGTATGCATTAAGAACTTCAAATACCAAATTTGGAATAATTCCAGTGTATAATGTCGCTAAAATTATTAATATGCCGAATATCGGGATGTGCCGTTATATGGGGGCTATACCAAACTGTGGACCTGCACAAACAATTTTCTGTCATAGACTTTTAAAACATTTCCGGTGAATAATGTCGTGGTGTCTAAAATGTATATTTGGAGGTGTTACAAACGGAATGATAAACTTAATATACCCTCCATACTATGGTGGAGGGTATAAAAATCTTATAGTTATTTAGCTCAGTCTTTTTAAGAAAGGGCAAAGAACTGGTTTGTGCTCTCGAAATTTTTGGCCACAAAAAGTTATTTGAAACCAGAAATTTCGTTTTTCGTAATATTTCTACCCTGGAACCCAAGTTATCCCTAAAAGAGCTAGTTGCCAACACGAAAGGAACCGAATTCTATATTATCTTGGCAATTTCGCTAATTTCTTCATTGCTATCTGTTGTAAAAAATAAAATAAAACATTTACATTTTCCTTTTCCAGAATTACAGCTGAAATCTCCTACAAACACATTACGCTCCCAAGGTCCCTACGAAGAAGACGATGTGGAACAACATTTAAATGACACCGTTGAAATAGGCCAAACCCAGGCGTATCATCAAACACTACCGGAAATACGCACTAATTTCTCGCAAGAGGAACACATTTTAGCACAACGACAATCCTGTTTTGAGGAATTGCAGAATTTACAAGAAGAAATACGAGATTTAAATGGCATGTTTCATAATATGGGTGAACTAGTTCACCAGCAAGCCGAAAGTGTGCAAGCAATAGCAGATAATGCCGAAGAAGCTCTAGAAAATGTCCAGGCCGGAGAGAGTGCATTACGCAAAGTATTGTCCTACAAGAAGGCAATGTACCCTGTAATGGGAGCCCTGTTGGGTACTTGTGTTGGTGGCCCAATTGGTTTGGTGGCAGGCCTTAAGGCTGGCGGTTTGGCTGCTGTGGGATGTGGTATTTTAGGTTTTACAGGCGGCAGTGTTTTGAAAAGTAATCCCGCCATACTACAGGGTAACATTGAAGAAGAACAGCAGGCAACATTGGAGAATTCCGAACAAACACAGGAAGAAATTGAAATGACCAAAAAGGAAGACTGACAAATGGAGAATTATCATCATCAACCAATGACAGTGTGGTCGGCAGCAACGCGTCAGCTAATGAATTTTCAGGGAACGACTGCAAATCGTTTGGACCCAGTGGCTCAGGCCACCACCGGTGTATTGTGCAGTGTTAAATCTTATTGTAGCCTACAGTAGATCAAATAACCATGCCGTGTTTGCAATTTCTACTATGGAACTAATGTTTTTTTTTTTACAAATAATTTTTGATATTAGCCTCCTAAGTCATATTTATTATATTACAAACATACAAAAAAAAACAATCGAGTTACATACATAAAAAGCAAACGTATATTACAATGTTCGCTTATTTTAAATCTACAAAGGTAGGGAACTGAAATACAATACCTTTTCCAGAAGAGGAGTAGTTAAAATCCAACCAACCCTGTAGTAGACATTTGTTGTTATTGCAGTTGCAATTGAATAAATAGATTAGTCATACATTAAAACTAGACAAAGACATATTTGTCTTTTATAAAGTTACCTAGCAATGTTCATATTTACAGATTATGTTTATAATAGCGCGAGTGAACAATTTGCAAACTAAGCTTACATGATAAAAGCATTTTATGTACAAGCTTTTTAAGTTGTTTCCACTTTTGTGTATATTTTATCCCCCCGCTGTGTATATTGTCAATCAATTCCATGTTGTAAAGTTTTAATAAATATTTGTTAGAATGTGTGTATCCACCATTGCTCCCTTTTAATAGCAATTAAACAAAAAAAAAACGCCTTTTGTTTTATTTTTTTTTAGAAAGAAAAACAAGTTATTTTTCTTTGATTTGTTGTTGTTGCTTTTTTCTACAATCCTATTTACAATTGAGAACGAATGGTCAGTAGAAATATGGGTCAACACAATATCAATGAATGGCGTAATTGCATTAAATGATAGTGATATTTATATTAACCCTCGCACTTTTATTTGTTCTAGCTTAAATGTTACACATGTTTGCCTATGACGCTGGTTTATTGACTGGTTCAAATAATTAATCGCAAAATGGATTTGAACGAAAAAAAAACAAATTTGAAACCAGAAATGTTTTTCCAATAACGGTCTGTTTTTATACCCTCAGCCATATGGCTAGAGAGCGTATATATCATTTGATACGGTCCAAACGTGTCTAGTCGAAATAATAACCCTAAATCTCTTTGGACCAAATCCGTTTCAGAACGTTTGGAGTCGATCTGGCTGGTGCGCACGAAGGGAGTATCCGATTTGGTCCAAACTTGGTACATCGTAGATCGAGTTCGAAGGTGGGCAATATGGGTCTACATCCTCTGGCACCTCCCCCACAAAAAGGTCGAAATTTTCAAAAAAAAAAAAATATTTTTTTTTTTGCACAGAAAGGGAAAGAATCCAATTTTGCTCCAACTTTGCAAATCAATCAAATATTTGCCTCAGTGCTAGGCCAGGTGCAAAAATGGACAATATCGGTCCACTCGATTAAGTACCAAAATTTTGAATAATTCCAACTCTTATAGAATGAGATGTAAGAGTCCGATTGTCTTCAAAGTTCACACATCCCAATATTTATATTAACCCAAGTTGTGGTGTTAAGATGGAATATATCGGTCCATATATCGGGAATATATCGGTCCTTCTGGTACATCCCCCACAATTGCTCGAATTTTCAAAAACAAATATTTTTTCTGAACATAAAGAGAAACGATAATCCGATTTTGCTCAAACCTTGCAAATCCTAATATTTGCGTCAGTGCTAGGTCAGGTGCGAAAATTGACAATATCGGTCCACTCCATTAAGTAACCTCCTCCACAAAGAGTCAAAATTTTGAATAATTCCAACTCTTATAGAATGAGATGAAAGAGTTCGATTGTCTTCGAATTTCACACATCTCAATATTTATATTAACCTAAGGTCTAGTGTAAAGATGGAATATATCGGTCCATTGCTTCTGGTACCTCCACTACAAATGCTCGAATTTTTCTGAACAGAAAGAGAAACGATAATCCGACTTTTGCTCTAACTTTGCAAATCCTAATATTTGCATCAGTGCTAGGTCTGGTGCGGAAATGGACTATATCGGTCCACTCCATCAAGTACCTCCCCCACAAAGGGTCAACATTTTGATAAATTACAACTCTTATAGAATGAGATGTAAGAGTCCGATTGTCTTCAAATTTCACACATCCCAATATTTATATTAACCTAAGGTCGAGTGTAAAGATGGAATATATCGGTCCACTGCTTCTGGTACATCCACTACAGATGCTAGAATTTTTCAAAAAAAAAATATTTTCTGAACAGGAAGAGAAACGATAATCCGATTTTGCTTCAACTTTGCAAATTCTAATAATTGCGTCAGTTCTAAGTCTGGTGCGGAAATGGACAATATCGGTCCACTCTATCAAGTACTTCCTCCCCAAAGGGTCAAAATTTTGAATAATTACAACTCTTATAAAATGTGATGTGAGGGTCCGATTGTCTTCAAATTTCACACATCCCAATACTTTTATAAACACAAGATATGTTGTGAAGATGTAATATATTATTCCACTCCTTCTGGTATCCCCCCCCCACAAAGGGTCAAAATTTTGAATATCTATGGAGCTCATAAAACGCGAAATTAACATCCGGTTCCATTCAGGTTTGGTACATCTCAATATTTCTATCAAAACAAGATCTGTTACAAAGATGGCAGAGATCGGACCAGTTCTTTTGCTACCTGTCCCACATAGGGTTCAAGATTTTGAAAAACAAAACGCTGAAAGAAAGCTAAATAAGCATCAAACTCTTCTCAAATTTCACACACACAAACATTTTTGCTAATACAAAATCTGTTGTGAAGATGATATATATCTGTGAAACCCTTCTGGTATCTTATTAACAAAGGGTGATAATTTGCCATACTTTTATCTGCCATAACTTACGAAAAAAGTCAGCGATTCTTTACAACGATTTGCTATATCTAAATATTTCTCTCAACCAGAAACCTGAGATGATTATGGAACATATGATTTTCTATAAATTGGATATAAATGTTCGATTTTTTGGAATTTTGCCCAAACCAATATTTTTATCTGTATTAGATGAGGTACTTTATGCCCATTTTAACATTTTCTAAAAATTAAAACATGTGTCATGTAAAATGAATAAAGTTACCAACCTTTCACCAAGTTACCCCATATTTATATCGTACTTATTTAGGTCCGATACGAAATAGACAATATTGGCCCATTCCTTTAGAATCCACTCCATAGAGGGTCAACAGGTTGAATAATCATACAGAAGTCAAAATATATTTAAATAATCGAGCAATGACTGAGGGTATTAGTCTGTCGGCAAACTCGACTAATATTTTCTAACTTGTTCTATCAAACTCAGATGGAGTTGGAAATTGACAATATCGATCCACTCCTTCTGATACCTCCTCCATAAAAGCTCAAAATAGTCACAGAAAGTAATTTACCTTATAGAACAAGAAAATGTCATCCGATTTGGTTCAAGCTTTGCTCAGGATCTTCCCCACAAGGTTCAGCGTTTTAAAGAATCAAAACGCTAATAAAATGAAAAAATTTTTGAATAACTATAAGTCTCATGAAATGCAAAACAATTTTTCGACGATTTTTTCAACTTTGTACAATGGAAGGGGACGGAAAAAACATAGGAACTTACCGGCCCATGCCTTTTGGTACCACTCCACAATTTACAATTTTGAATAATTATAACTCTCACAATATGGTTTGGTTTAAAGATGCGCGAATTGGGCAACTGCTTCACTTGGAGACCTTCCATTGTGTTTATCCTAGAAGAAATAATAATTTTAAGGATAGGAGAGATATAGAAGCGAGAGGTAGAAGAAAAGATTTTTAGAGAAAAGTGTAGTTAGTCGGGTGGTCTGTCCAGCCAGGAAATGCCCTACGCAAATTTGTAAATGATGGTGGGTATCTATGTCTGAGAAGAACGTTGGAGTTTCAATTCTCCACCTGTCAAATGGTCTATGTCTCTTGTTGGATAACAAGGGGCATCTGTAAAGCAGATGTTCATTTGTCTCTATCTCTTCTTCGTCGTCACAGTAGTCCGGGAAATTAGTGTCTCATCTTGAGACCAGTAATCTGATACTGCAGCGACCAATTAGTATATCCTCTACGATTCTTATATCTGATTATCTGAGTGATAGAAGAGAACTTGTTCTTCTCCTTAAGATTACAAGAGAGATGGTCTTAAATACCCTTCTTCTACTTCTTCCTGCTTCTTCGATTAGATATTTTTTTGAAGGAGCTGACATTATAGCTTATTGCTGGTATAATAGTCTCTAGCCCCCTACGTTATCGGCATATGTGATTGTCTGTATTCGAAGATAGATTTTTTGAAGGAGCTGACATAATAGCTTATTGTTGGTGTAACAGTCACAAGTCCCCTAAGTTATCGGCATATGTGACTGTCTTCATTCGAAGCTGGTCGAAGCCCACAAGTATCTCACCCTGTATCTCAATATTTCTATCAACCATATATCTGACGTAAATATGAAATGTGTCGGTACCCCAAAAGAGTTTTGGGTCTCCAGGATAAACATGTTTTGGGTCTCCAATATATTGCTTTTGAACTTTGTAGAATTCAAAATAATAACGTATATACAATAATAATATCATTTAATTACATCTAGAATCATTGGAACAAAATATGGGTCTTATCGGTCCACCTTTTGTTAAATCCTGTAAGAGAAGACCTCCATCCAAAAAATGTCGAATGTCTTGGTACACATTTCCTGATTGATTTCTAACTCTTATTTATAGGTGGTATTATAGACCACATATAGGTATTCTAGCCCACTGCAGCGAGTAACTGGCTCATAGCTACGCGATACAAAATTACATTACATTTGCATCGATTTCTGGGCCATATCTTGTCGAAGTCGCCTCTTCCTTAGTTCTAAAAATACTAGCATATTAATGTCTCAATATTTATTTACTCAAGATAAGTTATATCTCATTTTATAAAAAGGATGGAAATACAAATCTTTATATTTGTATTTTTTTTTTCTTTTTCATAAATTATATTAGCTTAGCCTAACAAGGTGATTTCTGCTTGTAAAATCATTTCCCTTATGAAAATAACGTTTAGAAAACCCATAAACATTTAACGTTGTTGAGTACAAGAAATAAACTTACAATCTAAATTCATTATTCACAGCTTAATGGTAAAACGATGAATGGCGTCGTGAAAACCCCCAGAGAAAATTAGAGTGGGACATTTGTTACAGTCCATGTTTGCTTGAATCGCTTCATACGGGAATGATTAATCTTGCGTATACGTTTGGCTGTTTTCTTGGGTTTATACCACGGTGGATAGGAACCATGTTGATCTTTCAGAGTCTTTGTATTGTAGACATGAACCTTGCCAGTTTTTTCATTGACAACGGTGACATTTTCACCTTTTTCACGTTGCTCCTGTAGTTCATGGGTCAGTTCTTCCTCTTCTTTTGTTTTCTTTTCCTACGATATGGAGGAAAATGTAACTCTTTAATATAATTGTAAATTCTATTTATTATACGCATAAAATACCATTTTCAATTCTTTGGCAGTTTTGACAGTGGCCACCTCTGCGATTTCTTTCATATCTTCGTCCGTGTCCATTATGCCAAGAGTTTTCTTTAGCCGGGCCAATTCCTTGACTTCATATCGTGCCTTTTTGGCTTTGCTATTTTCCTCGCGTCGTTTACGTGATTTATTTGTACGACCCATGTTAATTTGTTTTTATTAATTAACTAAATTATTATCTTTTTTTTCGGAAATATCCAACTTTTCCCAATAAACACGTGTTGTGTTGTTTGGCGTTTGAATAAAAACAACAGATGTTATTTGACAGTTGTTGCTGTCACACTTTAACAGTGTTGCCATGACAAAGTGGACGTTGCCAGATTAGCTTACAATACACAGAGAAAAAAAATAAATGATTTCTTTGTTAAGGGGTAGACTTATGGCACAACCAGAAAAGTAGTATAAAATTGAAGGTAATTGAAAAATGCGAATGGAATATATATTATATCACAAAATGAACGATATTATTATATCGCTTCAATACCCTCAGCCATATGGCTACAGAGGGTATATATCATTTGATACGGCCAAAACGTGCCTCATTGAAATAACGGTTTTAGACCCTAGGACCAAATCCGTTTCAGGACATTTCTAGTCGATCTAGTGATGTTCGTCTGTCCGTCTATCTGGCTGGTACACACGATTACTCTCGAAGGGAGTATCCGATTTGATCCAAATTTGGTACATCGTAATATTATTGTCAAACTTAGATTAAGTTCGGAGTTGACACGAACTGTCAAAATTTCAAAAAAAAAAAAAATATATATATTTTTTGCACACAAAGAGAAAGGATAAAGATAAATCCTAATATTTGCATCAGTGCCCGTTCAGGTGCGAAAATTGTCCACTTCATCTAGTACCTCCCACACGAAGGGTCAAAATTTTGAATAATTATAACTCTCATAAAATGTGATGCAATTGTCTTTAATTACACACATTACAATATTTTTATTAACGCAAGGTCTGGTGTGAAGATGAAATGAGATGGCAAATCTCAATATTTCCACCAACACAAGATCTGTTATAAAGACGGTAGAGATCCGACCATTCCTTCTGGTACCTACCCCACAAAGTGTCAAAGGTTTGAATAACAAAAACCATCATAAAATCCGAAATAAGCATCCGATTCTCTTCATATTTCACACATCCCATTATTTCTACTAACACAGGGTCTGCTGTGAAGATGGAATATATCGACTCCACTCCTTCTGGTACTTCCCCCACAAAGGGGAAAAATGTTGAGTATCCATGAAGCTTAGAAAACGCGAAATTAACATCCGATTCCATTCAGAGTTGGTACATCTCAATATTTCCATTAACACAAGATCTGTTATAAAGATGTAAGAGATCGGACCATTTCTTCTGGTATATACCCCACAAAGGGCTCAAGATTTTTGAACAAACAAAACGCTCAAAGAGAGCGAAATAAGTATCCAACTTTCTTCTAATTTCACACATATTTTTGCTGACGTAAGATCTGTTGGGAAGATGATATATATCTGCCAACCTCTTAGGTACCTCACCGACAGAGGGTCACAATTTCCAATACTTATATCTGTCACAACTTGCGAAACAAATCGTCGATTCTTTACTATTTGCTATATATTTCTCTTAACCAGAAATCTGATACGAATATGTAATTTATCAGAATTTATGATTTCCCATAAAATTGGATATAATTGTCCGATTTCCTTCAAATTTGGCACATAACAATATTTTTATCTGTTTTATATGAAGTATGAAAACGGAATACTTCGGTCTGCTTTATCTGTTACCTCGCGCATATTTCCAAAGTATAGGAAGTAGTCGATATAGTCCAAATCTACGAGTTGGTCAATATTGGCCAACTGATTCGGAATCTACCTCATAAAGAGTGAACAGTTTGAATAATCATAACTCAAGGCTGGGGATATACGCCTGTCGGAAAAACCTACTGATACTATTTTACTTGTTCCATGGCAAAAAAAAATTGCTAAATCGAATATGGCAACCCTTATCTGAAGTACTCGATAAAATTTATTTTACAAAAATAATAAATAATAGATTATTTTTGACGTCCCATATTTTACGAAGACGAATTTAGAGTTGAGTAGTTCTCGAATAATATTTTATTATAAGCCAATCTTTAAGGATCATAAGTGAAATTACGTCCATGGACTACACGATTTGTGCAAATTTGAAAACATTTCGTCTAATAGAGCCTTATGCATTCATAACCATAACCATATAAAACAGATGTTCAAACCAATCTTACGGTGGTGAATTGAATAATGTATAATGGAGACATACCATAACGCCATGGCCACGGACATAGACATCAATTGAACTTTAGTTTTCTGCCGTAACCATAACAAAACAAACGATTGTTTATTTATTTGTAATTATGCTATTGTGTTCTGATATTGTTAAGTTTTGATTAAATATTTTCGCCTGCACTTCAGTTTACACTTCTTTGAATGATTATCTAGATAATGGATGACAAAAAGCTAATTGAGTCTGTTCGAAACTGCCCTTGCCTGTATGATAAAACCCACAAAGACTTCAAGGATAGGGAGAAAAAACGACGAGCTTGGATTGAAGTTGCCAATAATTTGGACGTTGATGGTAAATATAACATTAATTTGATTTTATAATATTAACTAAATGCCTGTGAATAGAAACTATAGCTATGAAACGCTGGGGAAATTTGAGGGAGCGATTCAGCAAGGATATACGAAATCCTCAAAACTCCTCAGGAAGTGGAAAGCAGTGGGCCCTATTAGAAAGTCTGCAATTTCTACGAAGTCATATTATCTCCCGACCGTAAGTAAAAAACTAGTATTAAGATTCATAATTTGTCAAGAAAGTATATATTTATTTTACAGCATGCGACAAAGTGCCCCAATATTGAAAACCGACATTAAACCAGACATTCTTAACGAATCGTCTTCATCATCTTGTGTTTTACCTGTGCAATCTGCTCAACTTGACTCCGAAGAATCAATTTCAACGTTTCCAATGCAATCAAATTCAATTTCGCCCACTAAGTCTTGGCCATCAACGTCACGGATAAAAAAGCGAAAGTCCTCTCTACGGCTTGGCGAAATGGACACCACTATAGGGGAGACAGTAAAAACATTCCAGGAAATATCTACACGAAAGGCACGCCGAGAAGAATTTAGTTTGGAGATATGCGGTTTTGGTACAATGATATGCTCGGCAATTTCAAAAATGAAAAAATCCACCCAAGCTGCTGTGATTCGTCGTTGCACGGATATTGTTATGCAGGCGCAGATTGACGAACACGAAGGAGACCAACGGGAATGAAAATAATAATTTAATTATAATGAATTGTAATTATATTTTTAGAAATTATCTCTGATGCTGAAATCAAAGTACAAATAATATAGTCATAAAATGAACCACTACTACATTATATATGTAATAAACTATTAAATTTAAGAATTAAAAACAGTGGAATATAAGTTTTGCAATATATATTAATTTTTGATGTAAAGTAGTTTCCTAACAGAATATTTTTTTTTGGCATTGTATTTATATTCATAGAAATTACCTCTGATGCTGAAATCAAAGTACAAATAATATAGTCATAAAATGAACCATTACTACATTACATATGTAATAAACTATTAAATTTAAGAATTTAAAACAGTGGAATATGAATTTTGAAATATAGTAATTTTTAATGTAAAGTAGTTTCCTAACAGAATAGTTTTTTTTTGGCATTTTTTGGTTGGAGTTCCACTCTTGTCCTTAGAACTTGTCATTAAAATCCCAAGGGTATTTTCTGTAATGCGTTTTTTTTTTTAAGAGGAAAACACAATCAATGAAGTAATGTGGGAAGAGTTGTAATGTGAACGAAAGAGGACTAGAGAGGTCGTAGTGGCAGGCGATATTCCAAAAAAATCTTCTCCAAATCTCATTACAGGAAAAATGCCACCACCACTTTTACTTCCATTAGCTTCCACCCGCATAGCTATAAATTTGTTTGCTGCTAACAGTGCAAGGCTAAAACATTGCTTATAATTTGAAAATATTGAGACTGATTTCGGAGGATATTTTATAGCAATATATTTTCGGTGAATGGTGCCTTGCAGTTTAGGATTTTACACATTTGCCTGTATCTGGGTGATGTCTTCATATTGCTAATCGGGTGGATCACTCAGATAGTCTCACATTGCTCCTACATATATAAATAAAAGCTGTTTATGGTTATGGCACCGCTGATCGATGAAATGAAATCTGATTGCGGTTACGTTTATGGCTATGGCGATGCTGTATCTTGCGTCTGATTGTTTTGGATATTAAAACAGGGCCGGGCAGAGAGTCGCACATGTATATTTTTCCATTTTTATACCCTCCACCATAGTATGGAGGGTATAGGAAGTTTGTCATTCCGTTTATAACACTTCGAAATATACATTTTAGACCCCACAAAGTATATATATTCTTGAGCAGCATTCAATTCTATGTCGATTTAGCTATGACCGTCCATCTGTCCGTCTGTGGAAAACATTCTAGCTTCCGAACAAAATGGAGTAGGTTAATAAAATTTCACTCAAATATTATGTCTGCAGGACTTTTAGTATTGAAAATGTAGGTCCACGTTTTGGTATAGCCCCCATATAACGGCACCTCCCGATATTCGGTATTTTGATGATTTTAGCGACATTATTCACCGGAAATGTTTCAAATTTGGCATTTGAAGTTCGTAATAGATACTACAGCCTAAGACAGAAAAGTGTCTGTGCAGGTCCACATCTTCGTATAGCTCCCATATAACAGCACCTCCCGATATTCGGTATTTTGACGACTTTAGCGACATTATTCACCGGATATTGTTTCAAATTTGGTATTTGAAGTTCGTAATGGATTTTACAGTCTAGACATAAATTGTCTGTGCAGGTCCACGTCTTCGTATAGCCCCCATATAACGGTACCTCCCGATATTCGGTATTTTGATGACTTTAGCGACATTATTCACCGGAATTGTTCCAAATTTGGTATATGAAGTTCGTAATGGATATTATAGCCTATGACAGAAAATTGTTTGTGCAGGTTCACGTCTTCGTATACATATATAGCGGCACCTCCCGATATTCGTTATTTTGATAATTTTAGGTCCACGTCGTCGTGTATACCCTAATACAACGGTTACATTCGGTATTTGTATGATTTTAACAGAATTTTCGTCGGATTTTATTTTTTGAAAACGGAACTATTAAATTAAAATTAAACGATTAATTAATACTCTAAAACCGCAAAGTAAGCAACACCGAAGAGGAGAATGAGGAAATGTAACGGCTGATATAATAAAAAAAGTGCTTGCACTCAAAAAAAAAAAATGCAGAGAGTTTTAAATCCCAATGGGCCATCCCAGCGGATTTTTTAGCACATACATCTTCCATCTGAGACCAATGACAATGTAGGTGCGACCCATCCAAAGCCTATATACAATTTCTACTTACATTTACACAGAGATGGCCTAGGCCGTCAGACGAGTCCGAAATCTACCGACAATGTAAGCGAATGTTGGATGGGTCCGAAATCGACCGACAACGTAAGTGAATGTTGGATGGGTCCGAAATCTATCAACATTGTAAGCGAAGGTTGGATGGGTCCGATTCCATCAACATTTTAGATTGTGGAACTTAAATTTCAGCTGTCTCTTATTAAAATATTCGTATTTAACAGTGTTTTCAACAATAAAATATTCTTATTATAATTAGAAATAATGCATAAAAACGAAATTCATAAAACATATTCAAAAGACGTGGGAAGAAATAAAGCTTAAACTAAAGGAAAAAAAATTATTTTTCCAGTTTTTTATTGTAGGACATTGTTCGGAAGTGTCTGGCCTTAGGGAATTTGAAACAATTTCTAATCCTGTTCATTGAATCCTTCACATATGACAGCTTCTGAAATAAGGATAGAAAATATAGAACAATTTTTAAATATTAAACAGTTATACTATAGAATAGACTAATAGACTACATTTTAAGGTAATATAATATCACTTTTCAATAAATATGTAAGAAGAAATTTAACTTACCGAAAATGGCCATAATTAAAATTTATATTCCTTAAACGCCTTTTTATTTTGGGTACCATCATAGCTGTAAGATAATATTATAGAAATGTCATTAATCTTGCAGAAGTTTTTAATCTGGCGAAATTATAATTTTTATGATACTAACCTGAAAGAATTTAAATTATTAATGGATTATAACGGAGAGTTTTTAATATTCTTACATATTTTCCAAAATCTTCTACAATTTTGGAATGCATGGAATCTGCTCATTTTGTAGAATATCATTGTTTTCCAAACAGTCCGTCCTCAACTGTGCATTTCTTTTTAAATTGTCTGCTTCCACTTACTATATTCTTATTTTACTAATTTATTTTATTAACTTTTGTTCAAAATTCACAACTTGCACTTTCAAAAACACTTCACAGAATAAAATTTTGCTTCAAAAAAGAAAGAAGCATCAAAAATGAATAACGGTACAACAGCAGCTGCAACAATAAACAAAAAAAGTTACAAAACAATACAAAGGCATCCGATTCAGATGCAAGTGCGATGGACAGTTTTTATTGTATTTTGTTTTGTTCTTTAATTCTAACATGGATTTTGTTTCACAATGTAATAGCAATACGACTCATCCGATTCGGATGCTAGTTGTATGCTATTAACCACTGTTATTTCATTTTTTCCTATTGACAATATAGCATACATTTGGATGGGTATTAAATTGTAATGGCCAGCGGACTGCTGGGATATGGAGTTTGTGCTCTCTTCCACATTCTAGGCTCCAAATTCTCTCTAACCATTTTAACACAACAAAATGCAACAACGAAGCTCAACAGAGAATGACAGAATTGTAAAGATGCAGACAAATGGGAAGTTATTCATTCTGTTTTTAGACGTCAGTCGCTACGTTACCAACAGATAAAATAATTTTAACATAACTTAATCTAAATTAGTTTCGGTTTGTCTTAGTTGACCAACAAAATATTGTAAAATTAAATGTAATATAATAAAAATTAAGAAGTTGCGGTGTGTAGGTATTATATTTTAAACGAAAATCACTACAAAGTTTCCCCTTAAACCGGAAGTGAATTCACATATGTGTGTGTGTGTGTGAGTGAAGTTTTGCAAGAAAAATAAAAATACAAGGTTTTAATATACACAGGTAAATATGTTCTTGAAAATTACAAACTGAGAATTATAAAAACCGCTGCTGAAGTTGTTTTTTTTTTGTTCTAAACTTTTGCAATGAACCGTGATTTGTGTTTTTTTTTGACATTGCAGTCAGTGTACATCCAACTGCGAATGAAGGTTATACTTACTTTGTTGTGACAATAAATAGAAGACCACAAAATGGACAAACTGTCATGGGAAAAGTTTGAATCGGGAAATATGGCTGGGTTGAACATTTTGTACTTTCCAAGTCGAATAAATCTAAATTATATTCAAATAAGCTGGAAAATTATGCTAGGACTTTATAATTTTAAATACGTATTGGCGGGATGAACTTCTATTAGTTATGGACGCCAAATATACAGGGTGAGATGAAAAACTGCCACAAAGTCAAAAGCATTAATCACTTTTTTCTTAAATTTTATTGAATTTGGGTTTCTCCGCTCCGACGAGAAAACATTTTGTTTGTTTACAAACAAAATGATCGTGTTAACTTGCCAAAGAGGCCAGCTGAAAATGTGCACCTTCGGTTGGCCACCAGAACTCAAGTACCGCACTCAGCACGCGCCATCCAAGAATGGTTACAAAATTAGGTTCCTTTCTTCATTGCCAGCACACAATGGCCACCAAAATCTCCGGATACCAATCTGTTGGACTATTGTGTCTGGAGTATTTTGGAAAGCAATGTTGGCACTAAAAATACCAAAGTATCGATCACCTCAAGCAAGCGCTTCACCGGGAATGGGCCAAAATACCACAGAGCAACATTCGGGCTGCGTGTGACACTATATATATAGCTATATAACGACCTGAACCGATCTCGATGAAATTTGGCAGAGGTATTTTCGAGCAGTATCTGATGCCCGGTATCACATATCCTTGTTGTGGAGTGCATATTACGCATGTAAGGATCTTCAACACGGAATTTGATGAAACATATGTATGGGAGATTTAGCCATATCAGAACCGATTTTCATCAAATTTGAAGTACTTGTTTCTAGGAAGAAATAAGTTATAAATTCCAAAATTCAGGTAATTTGGATTAATATTGGCCATTTGGTGCATAATTAACCCGAAATCGGTGGAAGATTTATATGGGAGCTATATCCAAATCTGAACAGATCCTGACACAACTTAGCAGATATTTCTGGGCTGTATCTGATGTCTGTTACCAAACATCATTCTTGTTGGGTGCATATTACGAATGTGGGGACTTAAACACCAAATCGGATGAAACCTATATATGACAGCTATAGCTATATCTGAACGGATTTTCTCCAAAATCGATGTACTTACTTCTAGACTGAATTCGGTTGGATGTGCCAAAATTCAGGACTTTTGGATTGATATTGGCCATTTGATGCACAATTAACCCGAGATCGGCTGAGAATTTATATGGAAGCTATATCTAAATTTGAATCGATTCGCACCAATTTCAATGTGGTTTGTCCTTGGGCCAAACAAA